GTATCCGTGTGGAGAGAGAGAGAGAGAGAGAGAGAGAGAGAGAGAGACTATCCAACAGTTGAATAGAGCTTTGCCTGGGACTCCTCTGTGATATACAGTGGTTTGGGTCTGTCTGCACTATATCACTTGGTTTAAATGTCACATATGGGGCTGTGGATTACAAAAATGGGATGTAGAGCTTCAAAATAATTGAATAACGATTACACTTTGTTTTGGACATTGGTCACATCTAAATTCTCTCAGCCAGGGTGGCGAGCAGGCCCTATAAAAAAAAGCGATGGTTTTAAACCCCACCGACCGGCAAACAAATACCAGGGTGGCATCAGTTTTTATATTGAAATAAAACTGAGTTTCAGATTACAACAGGCTTTAAATAAAGCATAATCTTCACGATAAAGACATTTTGGAATAAATTATATTTCACACAGCTCACACATCACTGTCCTTCCACATGAATTCAGAGGATGGAAAGCATGGGAAAGGACACGAGGGACTGAAACTATCACAGGGGATCCTGCAGTCGCACAGCTACAGAGGATGTGTGGGGGGGGGGGGCCGGGGGATTCAATGGGGGCCAGCAGGGATTGTCAATGGGTCAAATGAAAACAAGAAGAAATGCTTACTTTAATCAGGTTTAGTCTGTCATACTGAAAGGAAATTAAAAGAGAAAACAAAACGTTAACCAAAGCAGTGAGCAACATGAACACAGGAAGGAGTAGGAAATGAGAGAGACGGTGCTGAGGTCCAATGGGTTTGTGGCTAACAAGCAACTCCAAAGCACATGACTGCCATTACCATGTGATAGTTTCAGAGGTCTGACGTTGCTCCTGAATCTGACTCTCCACCTAGATTGCATGTTCCATGAGAAGCCTGAGTGATTATATGCTGAGCCAACATAACTATTGTCGTCACAGAGGCATGGAACCCCTTTCGCTGAATGCACTCTTGTATTTGGATTGCATTAGGGCGAGGGTGATCAAGCTCACGTTGCTAGGACAACCTCACGCCATGTCTGTGTTCATGTGACCGCTGCTGACCACAGTGGCTAACGTAGAGGTGGGTGGGTGGGGGGTTGGGGGGTTACAAAAGAGTTGAGGTGGGGGGGTTGGACTGTGGCACAGAAATTAGAAGGGATGTAATCAATTGGGACGTGTGTGTGTGTGTGTGTGTTAGATTGTGCAAATCTCTCATTTATTGTCTCCCCAGGTTTCTCATTTCGGCCTGTGTCGATAAAACGAGAGCCTATATACTGAATCCCTATATACTTTGTAGTAAATTTAATGAGCAAAAAAATTAAGAAATAAATAACGGGACGAGGTCTGACAAGTAGCAAATCTAATGGATGAGGCAACAACATGGGTGATGCACTGAAAACATGGCACCAGCCTGCGTCCGTGGACAGGCAGGAGAGGGGGAGTTTTGGGGCCTGGTAGCAGGAGGGATGCTCTCATTATGGGCGGCTCAAATGGTCCTGGAGCTCTGGACTGGGATGCTGGGTGCTGAGTTTATCCCTCCGATAGCCTGGCCGTTAAACAGCATGACGGATGTAAAGCTCTCATTACCAAAAGGTTAACAACGAGATAAGTTTGTAAAGAGAGAGACAGGGCACAATCCAAAGGGGAAAAGGGAAGAGGGAAAGAGAGAGGAACTTAGTCAACTATTTGCAGTATTGTTTATTAGGAATTTGCACCAGAAATCTCAACAATAAGGCCCCATTTCTCCATCAAAACATTTTATTTTTATTCTTTTATTTTTATTTAAGAGCATATCCTGATCCTGACTATATTCACATACAGTAGACTAAGCTTAACACAAACATCTGAAATCGGTATTAGGAATTTGCTACATTGCATATCACCAGAAAGGAAGAGAAAGGACAGGAAAGAGGAGGAGAGGGAGTGAGTGAGGCTGTGTGGGGTTGACCGTTTTCAGAAATGTCCATCTGCTATGATTGTGGGTGCAGATGGGGCTTGTAACGGTTGCACAGGAACAAGCTGGGTTCAGGGTGAAGCGTTGCAAACGGGGGTTTGGACATTTCCACAGAGCAGCTCACAAGACAGGAGGTGGGGCAGAGGGAGGGTGGGCACAGAGATATTTGAGGAACAGAAAAAAGAGTAATGCTTACTTTGGAAAGTCGCTTGTGAGACTAGCATGCAATCAGGAGAAGAACAAAGAAAAATCAGAAAGAAGAATGAAAATAAAAAGAAATCAACCGCAAGAAGAAAACAGCTGAAAGTACCAACAGAAGAGCTGAACAGTCATTATCAGATGACACACATTTTCATATGGCATGTAGCAGTAGCAACAGAGAGAGAGAGAGAGAGAGAGGGAGAGGGAGAGAGAAAGACAGAGAGAGAGAGAGAGAAAGAGAGAGAGAGAGAAAGAGAAGGCGTGCACACTGTGTTGTAGACAAAAAAATGATCAAAGAAAGAGACAAAAACAACAAGTGATTGAAAACAGCAGAGACCGATGAGACGGTACATGTAGACGCAAGTGACATGGCTTACTTCTAACATTTTGCTCAGCGTACAAAACATTAGAGCCACATGCTCCTTCTGTGAAACAACCTGCAAGAGTCAATCCATCACTGAGTTCAGTTGTGAAGGGGGAGATGCAGATGAGGGGGAGGACGGCAAATACAAACACCTGCACTCTTCTGTTTTTCACCTCTTTCCCTCAGCGTCTATTTTTTCAATAAGAGCTTGGGATGTCAGCAGATACGAGGGCTCTATTCCTGTTCTTAACTTAAGTCTTGAGTCTGAAAGGCATCACTCAATGCTGCCTGTATTCAGTAACCAGGAAACCCTTACAACAAAGCAAACCTTCAACTTGCTGTTAAAGGATGGGTTCATACATATTTCCCTTTGCAAGTCTGCCTTAAAACAATACTTACATTCCCATTATGCATAATACAAGAGTTTATGTTTGCTTTAATCATTTCTGGCCTTCAAGAGATATTTTCATTATGCACTTTCAATGTAGCGACGGGGGAAAAAAAAGATCTAAATGGACTGTTGAGTTAGTCCCCCATCACTTACATTGGGTTCAAATAAAGAAATAATCTCTTTATGGCCAGTATTAGTCGGAGGAAAAATTTTTCATACGTGGAACCGACTATTGTTTTAAGACAGACTTGAACAAATTGCAAACCTGTCCTTTAAACACAAACACACCATACTTGTCAGCTGAATTTTTGTCAGAAATGATTTATTGAATGTCCAAACACACTGAGAGTCAGGAGAAAAATTCTGAAGGGTTGGAAATATGATACCTGTATTATCATGAGCTGTCTACGCTTCAAGTGTTGTTGTGGAAATCTGTTCACATCCATCTAACGGATAAACAACCTAAAAGGGTTCACAACAAAACTAGCTCTACTGAGGCAACAAATACACAAGTTGTTTAGCAAGTACATGGTGTGAAGCACATGGTTGTTAGTTAGCATGTCAGCAAGTTGTTTTATAAGCCAAGATCAACTAACTCAACTAAAAACAACTCCTTTAAATCACAGCTTTAGAAGAGGAGAGAGTAAAAGGTTATATATGGGATATGGGATGTCAAAATGAAAGGCTGGAATGGAGTGGAGGGTGCAATCTCTCCTGAGCTCACTAGTTACATATCAGTGTGTACAAGTCAATAATCAATCACAGACGGTGCGTTATGCGTTCAGATCAGTCTCAATAATAATGAAAACACAGAGGAATTCACCGATGTATTTTGTGATTCATATATAAATGACTCTGAGCACAAATATGTCTTTCAATGCACACAAAAAAGAGTTATCATTATATATAAATGTAAACAAATCCACATTTAATCCAGAAACATTTATTGTTTTAAATAAATGTAATAAAAATCCACAAATATATGTAGTTAAAAGGATTTGAAAATGTAATCAAAACCATATTTGGATGTTGTTATTTATATACAAACTGTTGAACTTATTTTAACAAATACAAAAAGATTATTACATTTATTTAAACGAATGTGTGTGTTTGTGCATTAGAAACTGAATCTTATACAAAAATAAGTGGATTTTGTTTACATGTATATATAATGACGACTATTCTTTCCGTGCATTGAAAAACGTTTTTGTGGAGATAATCACATACAGTATATATGAATCACAAATTGTGAAGCCTTCTGTGTGCATGCATTAATATTGAGAGTGATCTGACCCCACAGCGCGTCACTACACTGGTAAAATAAAGCTGGGCCGACTCTGACGTGTTCACGCCGTCACAGTTTATGAATGAATGCACGTGTGACAACCAGAGTTGCCACATCACTCAGCTAATAACCTTATTTCACTGTTGTCTATCTGATGTGACATGTCACAGTAAACATGTTGTGTTACTGTTTCACATGCACTCTCATATTCATGGTTTCCTATTGCATTAAAGTGAATGTAACATGTTCTTTAACGAACAAATACTGGTGTGAGTTTGAGGGTCAAGTATTAGCATTTGCATGATGTTGAAGTGTACTATGCAACTGGCCAAGGCAAGTAGTAAAAAGCTGTTTTTATAAATCAAATATGTCAGCTTATTTATCACATTTAACAAGCATAAGGATTCGTAATGTGTGCTGTTTATGCTATTGGTCAGAGATAACTCGTAGTTTCAAAGAAGTGATTTAAGCCCTTATCCTGACCGGTTTAACTTTAATCCACGTGTGTGAAATTGGCTCCTTGTGTCCAACAGTGAAGACGTTCACAACGGCTACTCTGTGAAAATGTTAAGAGCAGCTTTGTGAGGCTGTTTGTGAAACAGGTACCGAGGAAATGTGTCAAGCCAGGTAAACAGGAGCATCTCCTGGTCGCTCACCTTTGAGTTCTTCCCCCCGCTTCTTGCTGACTGCAGCGAGTATGTTCTCTGGACGACCTGCTCGGGCGTGGAGGGGGATTTGTCAGAGGAGTGGTCTGAACCCTTCTCCACCATGTTCTCACCCTCCTGGCTCTGTGGTGTGGGAGAGCGCGAGCGTTTACGCAGGACTGGTGAGCAGGCGGGTGTGCTCTTGTTTGAGTTACTGGCAGTGCTAAAAGAGAAGAGACGGAAAGAGGGATGAGAAAATCACATCTGCAACGAAGTGCATCAGAGAAATCACACAAACAGGTGGTGCCATCAGTTTAGAGATCAGTGTGGACAGCAGCACAGCACATACAGCATTTCCTCATGGTGACATTATTTGAGGCTTAACGGGCTTGAAGCACCATGTGCTAACCTGGCTAACGACAGCTAAGCTTATACGGGAACAAACGACAACATCACGCATGACACGCATCTCACTGATGCCACACTTCAAAAGTGTTGAGCCCATCGCCAATTTAATTAAAATACGAAGAGGCTTGAAAAAAGTCTCAACATCGACATTTATTCAGCTGTTTATTTATATGAGGCCTTACAAAAATGAAGGATGATTTCACTAAAAGACTGAACTGTTTCCATGGCTGCGGAAATACACCTTGGGAGGACTTGACACGGATCAAATGATCAGAGATACAATGCCAATCATTCTGGTCCTGAAACACATAATTATATTATCTCAAACTGAGCTGCATGCTGACTTTAACATGGGGATTCATCCACTAACAGCTCTCCAGCCGAGTGGAAGGACTGTTGTCTCGAGACAGGTAGTCCCTTTCCTTCCATCATACGTTGCTATCAGGTAGCCTGTGTGATCCAGCACGAGACACCCTCTTTTCTTACGCACGCACGCACGCACGCACACGCACACACACACGCACACACACACACACACACACACACCAATGGCTCAGCAAGAAGCCTCCTCCTCACAATGACAGCAGCGAACAAAAGGCCCTGAAAGTGATCTGAGTGGCGGTGCGCCCGCCAGGCACGGTTACTTGACATGGCGTTATGCAAGCCATTACGTCACTGGCAGCCAATGGCCGCTGTTAGTGCCCATGAATTACTGATCTACTGTTGCATTCGGAACTGCGGTGCAGCTTAGAGCACTGCATCATAGTGGCCAGTGTTGACAGCTCCTGTCTGACTGTCAGGGTCTGCTGTACCAGTGACTGGTTGATTTTAAAAAGGCAAGGACAACAAAGAGCCTTCACAGCTGTTTAATGCATCAGGATAGATAATGCACTCCTGGTGTGTTACGGTACCTCTGACATCGATTTATATGATTCCCGATGGCTGCTGTTCAGTGGATGATCATGTTAACTGCTGATTAGTCCCTACTGACCTGATTAGGAGTACATTTGCAGGGAAATCTCCTTTGAAAGACGTTTGTTTAACGTTATTTATTTGAAGTAGACATCTACTGCTGCCACAGCTCAGTGAATGGCAGGTGATTGCCGGATGTTTAAAGTCGTAACCTCAAGGTTCTTATTCTTAATCATTGTTTTCATCTAAAAAAAAAAATCTCTGGTTTATCAGGTGGTGTATGTCATACATCAGGGCATGACATCTGAGTACAAATGCTCACCACGGCGGTAGAAAGCAGAGTACATCGATATTCAGAATGCATGACAATCTTTGTCTGAGGCAGCAGACTGTCTGGGTCACACACACATACAAGCAAGTGCACACGCAAGGTGGTGGAGATGGTGTTTGTAAAGAAATTCCAATATCCTGCACCTTTCATGTGCTTGACAAATGAACCAGGGTTTCCCCATCAAACAGTTCAGCAGAGGTCGTAAGCCACCCAGATTCTGTCGCATCTCGTCTCACGATCAATCAATCCATCATTAATAGATGACGTCCTAAACAACATCCACATGAAGCATTAAATATGTGGTGTTCTGTTGTGAGAAATACTACCTGGGCCTTTTCCTCGAAGGTCACAAGTGTATTATTTATTTTTTTATGATGTAAGCAGAGGTGGACTTTATTTCAGGTGTGGTGGCATCCTCAATCAGAAAAAACTGCTGGGAAACCCTACTAATGGCTGTTTCCATATAGCAACACATATGATAGAGACCTGAAACAAAGTTTGAGAGCTTTAAAATCGAAGAAACAATGTAATTTCGGTTGTTTATTAGTTGTTTATTAGGCAAAAAGAGACACTTAACATGTGAAGAATTAATTTGCAAAAACATATAAAGGCCGTTCTTTAAATGAATAAACCAGTTTCATTGATATTCCCTTCAGTGCACAATAAAAAAAACATGATCTGTGACAATCTTTGAGATATCTTGTTTGATGGATATTCCCTGGAGTGCAAAAAAAATTAATACATTTGGAAAATAATTGAAAACAGAGATATCTGTGTTTGCAAATTCACTTTTCACTGATCTTTGGAAACATGCACACAAAGAGAGGTACATCAACTCAAACTACATCAAGCCACAAAGAATATTGGCTGCACTGCGACTCACGTTATCGGGGTCTTAACTGCTGATTTGACACAGTGGAACAGGGCAGTGGAGTGGCTGTGGTGAGAGTGTAGTTTGGAGACTTTGAATTTGACCGTACTGATGTGGGACAAAAGGTGTTGTCGGGAATTTGTCAGTAACAATCGAGCAGAACAATTTCTCCACTTTGTCTTTGGCTATAATGTGAATGACTTCCCTTCGGTTGTCATCTGTACGTAGCACAAAGTCAGAGAGGGAACCATGGCCACATCTACATGTCAGGCAGGTAGAAGCCCTCCGGTTCTGTTTGTCTAACATCACTGAACCATTTCTTACACTTGGCCACAGTTGTCCTCGGTCAGAGCAACACATTAATAAAATGTGCATCTCCTCCGAGGATAATTTCATTATCATATGCTGTGGGCTTCCTATTCTTATTGTTTATTTGCTTGTGGTCGTTCTGAATATCTTGTTAAAGATCATCAGTTTACACTTGGGAGCAGCTTTTTGGCCTGTTCTCGTCCATCTAAAATGAATGAAGTACTAAAAAGTACACACTGGGGGGACGGGGGGGGGGGGGGGTGGCCCAGGATATGTAGCTTTATTACACACCATTGCAGAGATCTGGGGTTCATCTGTTGATCTATACTGTGTCCTTCTATCTCCACTCTTCGCAGATAGACAACAGAGGGAGTCAGCATCAATAAGGACTGCAGAGCGCAGAGACAACTTAGCAATTGCAAATCGAGGAAACATAACAAAATAAACAAAATAAACCCCACTTGCTCTAAAGCTTATACTACTTACAGCTACATACCTTTTCATTGAAAGTGTATCAGAATAGGAATGTAAAGTAGTCATTGTATGTATGAGTGAAACCAGGTACAACACCTACTAACCAGAATATTCTGCACCAGTTGGGTCAAAAAGCTATATTTAAAAGTAGCCGCTTCCACTTGTTACTGCCTGATTGGGAGTTCATTACACATGATGTGATAATTAGGCTCAAAGCTGATCATCAGTAAGTGTCTGCATGTTGTTGACAATTGACACCAGGAAAGGTAGAGCCTAACAAGAGGATCAGTTTCTCACTGTCCCAAATCAAGGTAGGAGTACAAATACAACAGATGGAATATCAATAATATATTACTAAAACTATTATGGATTACAGCTTTAACAAATGAGCAGTAAAGGATCTATTTAGAGAATACTGCGTTTGAATTGGTACTCGTTGGATCCAATAGCAAATGGTTAAGGTCTTCCACAACCTCCCATCCATCCCGAGAGCGGAGCGCCCAGCAATGATCCGGCGCTAATGGTGTCATTGACAGACACATTTGGCAGACAACAGACATAATGGACACACGGTGTTCCCATTTGTCACGTAACTGCAGCCACCACCACTGCATGCTCTCCTGCAAACAAATGTACGAGCACCACGCAAACACAAACATTACTCAGACAAAGATATGGCATATTCAGATAGTGAGCCAGTGGTGCTCTTTTCCATGCCATATCCAGGTTTGGGTAATCCTGTCTCAGTTGGCACACACACATTCACACTCCCTCACACACTGTAGGTCGGGGTGGAGAGGTGCTGGCAGGGGTTGAGGTTCAGTGGGAGGTTAAGTTCAAGCCCCATTAAGTCATTAATTACACAACTAAAGAGCTAAAGTCTCTCAAAGTACTCTTACGTGTCCACATAGGTTTAACCAGTGGCTTGGCCTCTACGGGAAAAAAGGGCTTGAACAAAATATTAGATACATAAAAAATAATAGCTATAATGAGGTAACTGAAGCTCAGGTTGCCTGAGATTAAAATAACGTGGTTGGGTAACAAAGCCCAGATACAAAATAAAACACAGAGGATCATCACTCAGTACTTTCCCTCCGCTCAGCTTCATTTTTTTTGATACAGGAACCTCCACTTGTTGTTTTGAAGAGATGAGGAATTCACTGATCACCTCGCCTTTCCAGACACACAGCAGTAAACAATGGGAACGCGGCTTCATCATCAGCATATGAATGACTAAGCCCGATATATGTCATTCACACAGCAGTTTGCTCTTTGAACCAGAATGGTGGTGTGGATAGAGCGAACACGCAGCTGATGCTAGGCTGCAGAGGAGCAGACAAAAGCCTCCATCACTGACGCTTTGTTCGTAACTGCTTCGTGAAACACAACACAGAGAGTTTGACATAAAGCAGGAGAACCTGTCACTGGCATTATCTCCGGACTGGGATGCTCGGAGAATTACACGTAAAAGCACAATGAGTTCTTCAGCTGTGGAATAATAGAAGCAGCTGTTCACAGCTCTATTACGTCTAAACATATAACTTGCTATCATGAAGGAAAGCCTGCCTTGGGGTGCAACGATAAAAAACAACAACAACACACTACTCTAATCAATTTAAAAAGGCTTACTGGAATCAAAGTGACAAAACCAAGCATGAGTGCTTCACTTACGAAAGCTGCTGTTTCCAGCACCACTCACATGAGCTTTGTAGTTGCAATGATAGAGTGATCCGAACGCCGTGGTCTACGTTTACCTTCAATGGCTCACTGCAGCGAGAGAGCTGACAAACAATTTAACAATTAAAAAGACATATCTCTCTCTCTCCGAGCACCGCCCCCGCGCATTTACAAAGCTCAAACAAAGCTAAGCTTAGGATGAATATTGCTATAGCAACAGTGAACAGAGAGAAAGGTTTAAATATTCAGAGTGTGCGACTAAATATACTTCACCAGCTCTGCCGGTTAGAGATGCTGTCTGAGCGGGAAATAGAGCAGGGAGGCAAAGCGCCAGACATCACGGCCCATCAGGACGTTTTGGCACTTTTCATGATTGATTTCTGGACTTATCTCTACTTTGACATCCATAAATCTGATTTATGGATATTAGTATCCGATAATACCTTTCCCGCAGCTGTCTGCAATATTTATTTTGTTAATTTGTACGCGCAATATATTTTGCTTAACTAAATTAAGCCCACATTAATTTGAAGTTGTTAGAACAAATTCTATGAATAATAATAAATACTTAAAGAAAACTTGATATTACATATTCCAGAATACTAATAATGCTTTGTGGTACATAGCAGAGACTTCAAATAAATTGAACTGCTAGAAAACAATTTAACGGAGAAACTTCTTCTCACCCAGTGTTGTAATTTAGTAAAACTAAAAGAATTATGGTCCACAATGCGGTTAGAGACAATAAATGAAAGCTTATTTTGATCCAAACTAACGGCATCTTGTATTTTAACATCCTACTTGATTATTATTAAAAGACTAAAATGTAAGATGTTGCTCAGCAATGTATGTCATTTGCATTATGTGTGAGAGGGATTGATCCCTGATGCTCAAGCACAGAAATCATCAGCATTTCAGAGCTCTGCACAGACAGACAGACCGACAAACTTCAAGGTGTTGATCAGACAAGACCCCTACATGTCACTCAAATTAGGTCAAGTGTGAAACAAAAAATAAAAGAGAAACAAGCATGCTGCTTGCACCACTTTGCTACAGTCTTTTCTTTAAATAAGCTGTAAAGCTCTAAATCCAACCGGCTCAAGCTGTCCGATGGTTCAGCTTCACAATAGAACAGAGTTCCGGGCCTTTCTGAGCGCCCCCGCTTGTTTTCACAGTTTTGCTGACCCTGGAAAATACCCATCTGGCAGCGGCCCTTCAGCTCCGCTGTGTTTGAAAAGGCCGTGAGGAACACCACGCTCACCAGCAACCACTGCGCCTGCACACACGGGAAGGCACACACAGAAGCATGCATGTACGCCCATGTGCTGCAAAAATACATGTGGCAACATCACACATCTAATCTACCAAATACAAAAGTTATATAACCAAACTCATCTTACCCCACCCACCCCCTCTCTCTGTTACTAACACACACACACACAGAGCCTGCCATACCCCTGGTGAAAGACACAGTCCCTCAACACTTCGCCGTAGCAGCCTTCAAGGCAGTGGCAGCCCTCGTTGGCCACTGTCACGCACTCAAACACCACCATGTCCTCGTAGGCAGCCCCAAGTAATGAGCTGTTCATCCAGCGGATCATCCCGACGACGGCGCGCTGCACTTTCCTTTCTCTCTCAGTGGATAAAAGGTAGTGGGACAGATAAACGGAGAGAGACAGAAGGGGAGAGAAGAGATGGAAGAGGCAGGCAGGGAGATTTTCTTTCGCAGGCTTAGGGCCACTGATCTTCCCCGGCCAGCTCTGATCTCCTAATAACCAGCTTACAATCGCCCTTAACACCACCTGCCAAAGCGGAGGCATTGGTGGTCCGGGCTTTCCTTCCAAACGGCACATGTTGATCTCGCCAAGCAGGGACGCTAATCATTATGCAGGCTCCATGTAAGTCCGTATGAATGCAGCCAGGTAAGCAGGCTGTTGTTCCCAGCACTAACCTGGTCGTAGCCATGTAGAGAGCTGCTCCGCAGCGATCAGCCCTTTTCAAATGGAGTCATTCACGCAGCGGGAGCCGTGGATGAGGCATAGGAGGAAGGAGATGGAGGAGGAGGAGGAGGGGGGGGGAGAGAGAGAGAGAGAGAGAGAGAGAGGGATGAGGGATATAGGTAAGGAGGGTGAACGAGTTCTGGAGCATGCCGGGAGGAAAAAGGAGGAGGAAGCAGACGCAGCCGAGGGAGATTAAAAAAAGAACGTATTTCCCCGGCAGACGGTGAGAACAGTTTCTCTCTCTCTGGAGAGCGGGCTCCGTCTTTTTTCTTCCTCTTCCTATCGTTCACTCTTCTTCTCCTTTGTCTGAATTGAGGCCGATAAGCTCCTTCTCTCTCCAGCAGCCTGCACCTTTCTATTCGCCCCTTTTTCTTCCTCCGCTCTCCCAGCCGTTGGACCATCAGCGCTATTACTGCATCCGCTAGAATCCAAGCAAGGCTCTCCTCTCTGCTCCCTGTTTCACAGAATTTCACGGCTACAGACTGACAATAGATATGAAGAATGTGCAAGCGGATAGAAAGAGATAGATAGAGAGAGAGAGGGGGGGGGGGGCTTTCACTTTGCATTCCACCTCTACTTGGTGCTGGTGCACTGAACCTGCTGCTCCCTCAATTATTCATGTGCTTCATGAATGGACGGGCTGACATCACCGCCATTCGGGTCACTTTACATCCATAGCTCCCTCTAAATCACACAACAAGCTGGAGCGGGGTTTCTGGTAAACACATATCATGGTTTCACATAGACGCACAGCGGCACATAATTCAACTTGCTTTGCTTTGAAAATCAATTAGAAGTCTACAATCAGAAAAAGTAAAAGTGAAGGCCAACGTTCTTAGTGTTGAAGACATGCGAGTGTGACGTACTTAACGATATTTTCAATGTGGCAGTACATTGACACCAGGGTGTCAAGAAATGGGTTCAACTATTGCAAAGCTTGTTGTATCTTGTTAATATCCAATAAATAATTACAAGCAGAACCCCGTTCCAAACATTAAATGACATATTCTGTGCTTCAGTTGTTTGTTATGGTCCGATAAATAGAGATACATAAAAGACAATATGAATTATCCACTGTGCATCATTACCATCTATTTTATACTTCCAATGAACCTACTTGAAAAACTATTTCTATGTGAATTTCATTGCAGTTACATATTAAACTGATTATTGTGTTATTGTATTGTAGGAGTCTGTTCAAACCCAGTGAATTATCCAAACCTGATATTTTATTCTATAGCAGTTTTAGTCATAACATTGGTGCATAACAACAAAACTTTTAACTTGGCCTTTTGGCACCGAAGACATTTTGTAGTGACACAGAAGGAAGAGCACATGTGTAAATAATAAAATCAACAATGGCCGCATTCCATTTAGCTGCTTGAGTTTCAGGGTTCTGGTTTTGTGCCTGCTGGCTCACTCCCAAACAAATCAGGTTTCCATCCAAATGTAGCTCAACATTGAACCACTTTTCCAGAAAATGTGCAAGTTAAAGTGCGTTTCATGTTTGTTTCATCATGTATCAACTGGTGGAAGGTTACAGTCTCCTCATGCGCTCCACACTTAACCACTATTTTTTATCTCTCCAGTGGAAGTTTGAGTGACACATACATCACATGCTTCATGTATATCATGGTTTGTAGTTTACATGTTTCTTTCCATTGCACTTTGTTGCACATTGTTGTTATCGATAGATCAACTTTTCCTCCTCAGCCAAGCATAAAAACTTTGCACCCTGGTTTGTTTTTTTATGCCATGCTTTAATATAAGTAGGCAACATGTCTGCTGTGAAAAATATAGATTATAATGTTAAGAAAGCTGAGTATCATTTGGAACATTATATTATATTAACATGTATACTTTTATACATAATGTGTTAGTGTATGTATATAATGTAAATTATCAGTATTCACTTTTTTGTTGATTCAGTAATCCAAAACCTATAAGGAAGTTGGATGAGGCCTAATTTCAAACATCCCCACAAGTCAATCAGCTCTTACAAAAAAGAGAATGGTGACCCACACAGTGAAAGGCTTTATCCACATGGCTGCAACTGGGTGTCCAACAAGTGTTTCGGTGCATTACACACTCACTGCTAACTAACTGGTGTCTCCATGTGCACTTCTTATCAAAAGATGACAGCTACAGTAGTATTTACATGTTAACTATCACACAAACTGTATCACTAACAAAATAAGGGAGGTAATGTTAAGGTGACCCATTCACATGTTCATACATAAAGATGACAACAGTCACCTCTGGATCTCTATTAAGAAGCAAACGGAGCCCTGAGCTGTGCTGCTGGAAAGACTTGACCCCGGGGCTGCAGCAATGCTGGCGGCCTCTGTGGGAGCGCCGAGCGGAGCCGTGCTGTGGAACAAAGGGAGCTGGTCCACTGAGCCGGACCACTGTGTGCTCAGATAAGCCCGCCCGGCCTCGCACCAACAACTGACCTACTTAGAGGGACCTCTCCTCTCTTTGTTGTTGCGCCCAGGGGACATGCAGATGGTCAAATTGACCACACGCACTCAGAGAAATGGTACGTAATGAATGGCCGTGGGCCCTTTGCTGTTGATTCACTCATGACTGACAGACTTGACAGGCTTGAGCATTTTCAACCACCCCCCCCCCCCCCCCCAATTCATTCTGGTGTAAATGTAAGCCGAACACACCCCCACCAAATGTTAAACACTCCAACTAATTTCTCCATCTTTCTGAGAGGAAAGGCATGCTGTTTACCGAGTTGTCACGGCAACATAAAATGTGGCGACGCCTGGCTGGGTCGGAAATGTCCGTCAAGACCGACTGTGTCTCGACCGTGCAGTTGCCATGGCAGCCCGTCAAGCCATTCATGTGCACCGCTACTTGAAGTGTTCCCAACTAGAGGGACAACGAGAGAGCTGCAGGAGGGTGTGTGTTTGTGTGTTTGTGTGTGTAACGGGGTGATGATGCTGCAGCATAAAGCATTAACACACGCCATTAGTTATCTACAAAGCCCCGGAGTTTAAGGGCACTTTGCTGTGAACATGTCCGGAGTGAAAGGAGCCAGCGGTGGCTCCCTGACAGACGATATCTCTATTTCGCTCGGGAAGATAGTTTGAAAGATCCGGACACAAACTTTTTGTGTTGATAGCCGTGTGTCAGTATCGTACAAAAACAATCAAATACGGAGTGAAACCACTGTGTGTCGTTAGCTTTCCTAAAAACTATTTAAATCCAATCCCACGAGCATGATTTAAGCATTTAGTCCAGGCTTAATTAAGCTGCCTAATTATCCTCAATGTGTGGCAACCTAACATAGGCCTCTAACAATTTTTGGGTTCTCATTGAAGCCGTGACCTACTGTACCTCTGGGTCCAAGAACCTGTTTTAAAAGCAGCTATAATTAAACATCACCGATTTAAATTCAAACGGCACCACCCGGAATATCATCTCGAGAAACGCTCATCCAAACAACTTCACACTAGTCGCTGCAGTTCCTGAACCGCAAACATATAAATAGACTCTCCTTCCACTTTAGTTAGATAGATATATGTTGGGGAAAGAACAGATTGAATTCCCACCATCACCATCATCACAGCGTTTATTAGAGGCAACCTATCCTGTACTATATTCTACAGTGAATTTCAAGCGGTTTAGCATCTTAACACAGCCCTGTAGTTCCTAAACATCTAAATTGAAGCTGGTTTTGTATACTTACCTAAAATGCATAAATGAAAGAAAGATACAGAGAGTTTCTCAGTCATCTCTGATATTTCTAGTCTCTACCAGAATATTGGCCACATAGGACGCTTTGATGCTGTCAAGTTCTAAGCATCACTTCCACATCTTTCCTTGTGTCTGTGTGTGAGATCTACAGTAACTATTTCTGTTTGATCAAAAGTGTTATCTTTAAGTCTCTGTATGGGCTTCATTTGTGCACCTATTATCCCTTTGTGTCACTAATAAACGCAGTGTTGACAGTGTGAAGGAATTCAACCTTTTCTTTCACATCATTTCAATTTCCTGTCTAGCAGGTGTGTATTACATAACACTTAGTTTTACGTCTACTATACAAATATCTTTTACGTATACTGGCCATTTTCACTATTTCCTAATGTCATGCAGACAAAAACATTGTTGATTAATCAAATGATAAAGGAAAGCATCTGCAGATTAATCGATAATGAGAATAATTGTTAGTTGCAGCCCTATTTAAGAAATGGCATAAATTTATTTCATTTCTCATTAGCAGTTATTTGTTCGGCGCTAAAAGGGAGAAGTTCATTCCCAGCTCTTATGATGTCACCGATCACATGTAGCTGTCTGTGCGGGCATAATGAAACACAGGGAGCCTGCAGGTGCATAAGGTTAAGTTTGGATTCCTCAAGTGTTAACTCAACAAATAACTAATATATTAGATTAAAACAATTACTTCCATGTACACATAAACACATGCCAGTTTATAAGACAGGAGGGAGGGAAGCAGGTTCCGGTCGTGCTTTTAAAAAGCTTAATTGAAAATTAACTTTTTTTGTTTTTTTGGACAAGCTATATTTGAGAAACCATGGAATGCAAACGTGAATCCTTTTCATCAGACATACATCAGGGAGGGGTACTCATGACTGTCATGTGTCATGGACGGAATGACTGATACTTTAAAAGTAACCTGGAAGCAAATGCACCCGTCATAATACTAAGATTAATGCAACCAGCCTTCCTTAGTCCTTATTAATGCGAACACAAAATACCACTTTAGACACAAATCCTTTCTCATTAAGCGCTATGCAAGCAAAGCAAAAGTTTCTCCAGCGACTTTATCAATCATTGCAAACCAATCAATGCATCATCCATCATATTCCCTCACAGCCCAAAGATAGAAAAAAAAAAAAGCCGGTTGTATTGTGAGCAGGCAGAAGAGTGTGCCGGGGAATAGAGCATAATCAGCGAAGACAAATGGCTTGTGGGAAGGATGCAGTATATATATAAAAAAAGGGGAAAAGGGGAAAAGGGGACAGGGGTAGAGAGAGGGAGTGTTAATATGCAGTGGCCAGAAGGGAAACAATTCTGCGGTTTCTCTTCACTGCAGGGCTACTGCTGTGAACTCGGAAGTCCGTTGTGGGCCAGTCTGATGGTGCAGTGCTTTATCTGTAAGGCTGCTGTTGGTTCCAAGCCTCCCAGTACATTCTTAAACAAACTCTTAGCTGTGGACATTCATGTTTTCCGAGCATGTAGAAATAGTTTTAATCGTGACTTTTGATTACCGTTTTAAATCTGGAGGAGCAGCTGATCGACCAGCAGCTCACCTACAGTTAACGCAGTAGAACCTCTCCCTCTCTAATACTTCACATATTGAAATGATGCTTCTTGGTCCAGAGACCTGGGAGCTACAATTGGGAAGTCAGTTTTAAAATAGCCCAGAGAGACCATGAGTGGCTCGGCACTGGATGGTACACGCCTGGGGGTTTGGCGTGCATGTGCGTTATGTGAGGATCTGAAGCATCCGTGCATATGTTGGTGGATGTTGCAAGTTTCCAAAAGTCTTTGATGTTCCGTTTGTCTGCATGACAGCATGCATGAGCTAAAAAGCTGCAGTCTCAAAGGGACGTAAAAGCAGAAATGGCAGACAGAAGGCTACTCCACAGAGCTCCGACCATGACATTAAGCAGAGAAAACACCACAGTCGCCTGGCTCCGATTGGCAAAGATCAATACGTTCAAGGAGCTGAACAATTGACCAGACGACTCGGGTGTAAAGATACACACGGGCATTTACGTATGCGAGTCGGCACTCGGTCTGTCCGACTGTCAGGCAGCATCAACAGGCTTGTCCGTGGTGCCACGTGCAGAGAGTAAGCTCCAGCTCAAGCTTGCTGTCTGTGCCTCGCTGTTGCTACAGCTGCTGCTGTTGGCTGCGTGTGCACATCTGTGTGCAGATGTTTTGCATGCAGATTTAAGTCACACCAAATGTCGTATCGAGAGCAAACATCCCCACATCGGGGCCACTGCCAAATCTCTCTCTCTCTCTCCCTCTCTCTTTCTGACAAGTAATGCTGCAAAAATACCCCCCCCCCGGCTCTCAATCACAGCGTGCACTGTGACAAAACAAACAAAAACTCGTTGACACTCGCTTCCCCTGACATCGACTTTCCCCTGACATCGACATCATGAGATTCTTTCTTATCACTATGACCAATATTTCTTTTACACTCCCGTCGTTTCCATCAGATCACAATCATCATCTCAACTATTCTATCTTGGCTTTCATTTCATGCAATTTCAGTACATGTTAAGATCAAATCTGAGTAATATGCCTCAAAAACCCAATAAATATAACGGCAAAGCATGACACAATAATCAGAGCTTCATCCTAATCTTTAGGAGTCTCATTTGCCAGCAGCCAGTCACGAGATAAAACGGAACAAATACTTTTGCACTAATAAAAACCTACTGAGAGTAAACAAGAATCATTGTCTAGTTCACTCGAGTACCTGGAGAGCGCCAAACCAGCGCGGATAAATCACTGCATCCCGTGTAGATAAATAAGCTGCTTTATCAGGTGGCAGCTACTGGTTTATAACAAAGGACAACAAATGAAGTGATTGAGGTATTGAGTGATGGGATGACCTCTAGGTCACACCGTTTTGCCGAAGAAGCAGATTGTCTCTGGGAGAACAGAACGCAGCTCAAAAAAAAATATCACAAATAACCAGAGTGAGATTTCAGCTGGATCCTCCCTTTGATGAATTTACGAGGGGAACCGATAACGATCACTTCTTCCTTCATCGAGTTTTCCCCCTTCAAGGTGGACTGAAACACAGCTGAAATAAAGCGTCATTTTTGAAATAAACCTTTTACAGACACATTCTTGATTAAAAGGTAAAAATCATATTATGACATTTACTTGGGATGCATCCTATCGGATACAGTAAATCTACATACGTATGCGCCGTTATATAACATGACAACATGGCATGCAAACTATACCCAGCTAGCTAGCCAGACAGTTTCATCTCTATGTATAAGAGACTATGGGATGCTAACAGATGGCTGTTCAGTGGTAAAGTAACCTGTGTGTATGTGCCAAACAGGAAGACACATACAGTATGCACTCTATCTAATTAATCTCATGAAGCCCTCAGAGGAAATGTTCAAAGCTACAGTCGACACAGTCTGAAGTAAAAAAAAAAAAAACGACTGGAGAGTCAAGTAATAGATTTGAGTGGTATAGAAAAGCAGAGAGGAGAGAGGGTTGCAAATGATAGAAGGACACAGATATATATAGAGAGAGTGAAAAAAAAGAGGTCCTATAGGGAAAAGAAGAGATCCTCATGAAAGTGAGAAGCAAGGAAGCGGGACGCACGTTGCCGAAACTGCTCCCCCTCTGTTTTTTTTCTCTCTCCTGCAGTGCTCTGTAATTCGCCTCTAAAAATATCAGGCAAGATGAGGAGGAGGAGCATAAACAAACACAGGGGGAGGAGAGGATAGAAGGAGGGACGACGGAAAAAGTGCACACACTGTGGTGAAACAGGTTGAAAAGAAAAAAGCCAGAGCAGGGCCACCTGGATGTGGATCCGTTTGTCCCTGTGAGACACCGAGGGGAACGGGGGGGAAACAAGCGAGGAGGACAGCGATAGTGAGGAGCGGGGGAAGACGGAGGGAGCATGTGCCTGCTCTTTTCCAGGCAGCCACGTGAGTGCCTCTCCTCAGCTGCTCTGCTCACACTGAGCCCGCCAGAGGGGAGCAGAGCAGGGTCGCCACAGCGGGGGGGGAAAGAAGAAGAAAAAATAACACACACTAGCTGCACTGGATACACACACTCTGGTCACAGCTTAGTGGGGTCCTAACCTAGCCCTTATTACTTACTGAGACATTTCCTGTAGATTTACATAACCATGTAGAAATGCACCGGACAGACAAACATAATTATATCTATTAATGCTAATTATACATGTGCCCTCTTTAAAAAGCACAGATATTTGACAGTGCATCCGGCCTTGTCAACAGAGTACGTTGTCTTAAGAGTGACATATGACAATACAGCCACATAATACCAGAAAATAGTCACAGACATCCAGCACCTGGCCGGGTACACGACAGCAGTGTACAGCTGCTATACAGAAAAGAAAAAAAACGGATTACATTTCAAATACACAATCGCACACACAAAGAGAAAACCTCCGCTCTCCGTTCAGCCTTACCAGGCGAGCTTGAAGCCTTTCATTAGTACAGCGAGGAGTGTCTGACGTCCATAGCGTGTTGTGGGCACTGGGCTGCCCGTTCACACCGCCGCATGCTGACTGACAGCCTGCCAAAGCCTCACCTCCCATACACAGAGCACAGAGATGCACGGAGGGCACGAAGGGAGCAGTGGCTGCAGAGACGGATGGACGGTCGGGCACCAAAGTCTGGAAAGACAATCCTCGGCTTTGCCCACCTTTCTGCTACATTCCGTCGCTTGTGCCGAGGTGCCGCAGTGCTGAGCACTTGTGCCAGAAATTCACACCTCCCTGAGGTTCTTCAATTTTTTCCCAAAAGAGAAGGAGGTGACATGCTCTGCAGTATTCAATGCACAACCGCAGCACGCAGCAGAAGCAGATGGGCTAGCGACTGCAGATGAATGCCAACATGGCCGGTCGCGCTTCCTTTCTAACTCTGTGTCTTTTCTATCATGCTCTGCCTCTGTCCCCCCTCTCACAGCGTCCGCTCGCTCAAACTCTCTCTGCCTCTCCCTCGGTCTCCGCTGCGGATGAAAGCTGCACTTGCTGTGCTCATAGTGAGCAGGCGCAGGCTCTCTACCCTCCCCCTCCGTCCCTCCTGTTCTCTCCCTTCTCTTCCCTAGATGGCTCCCTTTCTCCGTTTCTCTCCAATATAAGCCTCCTTGGCCCAGTGTGGAGGATTCGAGCATGCAGGATAGTAGCCTCTGGCCATAACATCCCCTGGGCAATGACCACCACCCCCACCTCCACTCTCCATGCTATGTATGAGAAGGGTATTAAGTGTGAGGGGGGGACCTGCTGCAATTCTTTCCTCTTGTATTGGACTCCAGCCCTGATCAGTGTCAGCAGCTAACCCTGTTAATCTCTTAATGCATTGAGAGTACTGGGGTACTCCCGTGTTTATAGCCGTGTACGTGCTCTGCATACATGATGGATCAGATGGAGATCATGGTGACTCAGCTTGCTTAGTTGACTACTGAATGTTTTATGACTGCAATAACCGGAGTTTAAATCCAACCGGGGCCTTTTGTAAATAGTCTTCATTCGTTCCATTGACTGACACCGCAGCGCCCGTCAAGCTCTGGATTAACAGCGATGCTCTGTATGTCAATAGTTAGAAGTGTGGTGTCTTTAATTTCATGCTTTCCAAAACTCAGAACACAAGAGCAAACGTGTTGGGAAGGGATTAATCTGTGTGCTTATCCATTTGAATGTGAGCCGCAAACGTTAGCCTGCCCTGCTAACTAGTTTACAGACGGTAGTACCCTTGCATTAATGCCAAGCTGACTATGTTATTTACTGGAGTTACAGGTTATGTAAAATACCCGATCTGCCCTGTGGGAACCAAAATATTACCTTGTCAGAAATAAGAGTAACAATAGCAACTCTGTCTCTTTGGTTCGTGGAAGTTTACGCTCCAGCACATCTAGCCAAACCTTACATAGCGTGATGTTTTCCTAACTTTTTGCCTTCAGCCTCAATTTTTAGCTTCATATCAAAGAGTTTTCAACCTACTGGTGGGATGTCTAGCTTTAGAATTAGCATATGCAAGCCACAGCTGATAACATCTGCTGGTGGAAGTTGTCATGTCAGTTGACAAAGTCTAACTTTGTTTAACTAGTTACTTTTCATTTTGAGTGGTGAATCTGCAACCCTTATCATTGTCGAATGCATTAAGTGCTGTGTGAGAACGGACAGCTTGTCAAATATCGCAGCAAATATCGTGGGGGCGTTTAAGCAGCAAAACTAACTGTAGTTATAAGCTTGACAGAGGAAAGATAACTAAACGTTTAGCTCCTGAATTTATATTAAACAAAAGTTCAGCTGCTGTTCCTCGTGCGGAGATAAGCTCAGCATCTTTACTCTCAGCAAAAAAGCAAGTTCAACATCTTTTCGTTATCTGGCTTAACTAACGACTGAGCGATCCTACGACAGGTGGTTATTGAATCGGTAATTCAACATAGGGTTTCTCAATCTGGAGCGTGTTAACATATTAACGCAGCCACACATGGAATCGAATTCTACAAAGGCTTCCAAAGGAGCATCGACAGGAGAACCGTGTTTGTTTGGGTTGCGAGTTTAAATAAGAATCCAGAATTACAGACTCAGCCTCTCTTCCCTTGACCGCCTCAGGCCACAGGGGTCAGAGAGCAACCGAGCGTTCACTTTAATAGAAGCTGTCATCAAAAGGAAATGACCACAGGCACTGGGTCAGGAGGCAGCACATTCTTCCCGTTTAATCTTTTAAAGCCCTGCACATTACAAATTACACCTCATTAAGGATGGCTAACACTGTGGCTGATGCAAACCACCCTCCACCATCAGAACTGACATTCTGGTTGACCTGCCCAGAAATAGAAATAGAAAGAGAGAGAGAGACACACACACACACACACTTTAATGATTCGATATTATTAGTTTTGTGAGGAGTAAAGCACGTAGTAATGTGTTTAAGTATAGCTCAATATAAAGTGGTTATTATTGTTATTGAGCTTTGAGTCGACGCTTAACTTTGGTTATGTGTACAGTGACATTCACTTGTGTATTACAAGAGAAACTTCTGGTCTATAGCATGCCAGGGAAAGTAACACCTGTTCTACTGTCATTTTTCCAAGTTATAACAAATCAAAAACTCCTTGTCGAGCAGCACAGCATACGACAGACTGAGAAGGCTGCTAAGCATGTCTTCTGAGAACATCAGAGCCCCAAAATTATATATTAGGGACATTTTGGAACAGACACTGATGGCAAGGTAATTGGTATGGTATGGATTTGAAACAAAAGCATTAAATAGCACAGAATCATGGAAACAAGCAAGTTATAAAACATATTTTTTTTAATTATAACTTTGTGAATGTGAGTCTTAGTTGGCATTGGTCCACTATCCAAAAGTTAATACAATACAACATCTCTGCACCTTGTTTTTCTTTTTGCATATTTGCACATGTGTATCTCAGGCTGTAGAGACATTCTATAACTAGCTATTAATTGCTGACTTTTAACAAGCACCTCAGACCATATCATGATTACTTTTATTATTGAAAACTCTCAGAGGGAAGAGGATCAGCGAGGGAGTCTTTCATTCTGCACCATGGAACAGGCAAGAGCAGTCAGGATGACGCGCTCTCTCTGTGTAATATTTGCCAGCATCGTTTCTCCCCATTGCAAATGTAAAGGCAAGACTGCAGGGAGAGAAAAGTGAGAAGAGGAAAATGGGCAAAGATATGAGAGCTCTAATCCCCTCCTAGGTCAAGTGAGTGATGTAGCCCGAGCTTCAGTCAAGCAGGAGGACAGAAAGTCCTCTCACACATCTGGTGCCCACCTTGTCATGGCTTGCTAACGTCACAGAAACCCAGAAACAATACCCGTAGTCATGGTGCACCTTAGTAATGCTAGTCACATTGTCGGCCATGATTCCTGGGAACATCCAGGACAGACGCAGAGTTTGGGCAGTATGAAGTCACCTGCCCCCCCCCCCCCCCCCCCCCCCGACTGCTGAGAGCTTATGTAATGGACGAGCAGTTCATCTCGACCCAGCTTCCTCTACTCATGTGGCTGATGCACCGAGGAGCATGCATTGTTAATATCCATCCCTGTTATTTTATAAAGAGAATGCATCAAAGCAGCCAGAAGGTTCATTGTGACATTTCATTACTTCCGCATCTCCAAAAAAAAATACTGTTACACAACATGAGCGTGTTGTGCTGTGGCTGTATCATTTAAAAATAATTATTGATAAATAGATGTGTTTTTCATTAGAGTAGACGTTAGCCTGTTATGTCCAACAATGCAACAGGAGGTTGTTTACCCCAGCTTTAACACACAGAGGCTTAGTCAATTTAATTTCAACCCATTAGGAAGAGAATATCAGCATAACGCAAATAATACCATGCCTGACTATTGAAAGATGGATTTTAGACATCAGGCCATACTTTTGGTTGCATTCGAGTGTTTTTGGGGCCTTTAAAGCCTGTCCTACTTTATTTTGTGTCTTCTTTCTTGCCGTGTGTGATTGTAGTTTGACTCTTGGTTAGCGCACTGTCCAGCCTGCTGAGGAGAAGCGGCTACAGAGTGGTGCTGAATGGACAGCTCCTCTAGAGAATCGGAGATGTGTTCCTCTCACTGACGCCCCCTGCTGACCAGAGAACAGCTGAGTTCTGCTAAAGTAAAACACCTGTCATGATCAAATAATAAAAAAAGGTGTCCCCACTGGTATCAGGCAAAAACAGGAATTGATTTAATTTCATGTAAAAGTAAATTCATTTACACTCAACTTCCCTGAATACATGTTTAATGTGCCCTTTATAGGAAGGTTTCTAAAAGAAATGCGAAGAATAGAGGTTCCAACACATATTTCATTGACTGAATTACACCTTAACAGATAGTTAACTATTAGTCAGCAAAACAGCTGTCATGGGATTACAACATTAGCTTCTTTTTTAACATTCCTTGAACCCTAATCTGGCCCAGAGACTTTTTAATTCAACTCTAAGAATAGCATTTGCAGATAATCTGGATTAATCCCTCTACACTGCTTTGTGGGATTGGATGGCGGGGTGAGTTTGACTCCATTTGCCTGGTGGGCGTTCCTTTTCCCTGTAACACACTATGGATTACGCTTGTACCGCTTTCCTACTCATGTTGCCATAGATTGATCTCTACTATCTGATCAGCTGTTTGTTTATTGTTGAACTGAACACGTCGGTCAATCTGAGCGCTCGAGGCCACAGTGTGGAGACAGAGAGCAGAAATGCATTCACGGCATGCAAACACAGGCATATACAGTATGCACACATGTGCGACTGTAAATACTTCAGCAAAAAAGAAATCGAATGAGACGGAGATCTATTTACTTGAATCCAACTTTCATTTAATCGAATACGTAAAGGAAGAAGTGAAATCAGCCTACAGGGTGAACATGTGTTTTTGATGTGAATGAGAAGGAGGTGTGGATTAAAGACAGACGGCGTAGTAGT